GTTAGCCATAAACAATTTCTGTGTCATTTAAGGTCAAATATAATTTTGGCTACTACTTGTTGAAAATGCGTAAGACCATAAAGATAAAAGAATGAAAGTCTGAACTTTCGTTGCAACGTAAAGATAAATGCTCTACCATTAGAGTTAAAATGACTTACTTAAGCATCCCCTTTGTTTTGTCATTACATTTTTGGCACTAGCTTGCTTGAAACGTAACATGCATATTAGCTGGCTTGCAAAGATTAGTGATGACTTCGCATCCACGTTGGTCAGATAGTTTCCTATGCCAAGAAATGTATTATAGCTTAATTATTTTTTTATTAGTGAAGAAGATTAATTAGAATCACGTAAACAACTTCAAATAAAAGCATTTATTCAAACTTGGCGAATTGCTTTTGCTCAGGGTTACCCAACTACAAAATATTAATCGTGGGTGATTAGATAGGGTTGAAGAACAGAAAGATGCTCAAGTCCATAAGCACTTAGGCAGAGCATCAAATAGAAAAAAAGCACTTATGCAGTCAAATTCAAAAATTAAAAATATCACTTTCTTTGTTGATACTTCGGTTATCTGCATGGCCACCATGCACTGCAATGTGGCACACAGTGATTAGCCAACAGGCTGCCAAATATTTGGACAGCCAAGCGCCAAATTTCCAGATTTCTGATATGATGTGGGATGTGGACATGGAGGCTAGAGCATTCACACATCCCTATCGTGATGATATGATCTCTTAAACTTCCATTTAATCTGTAGAAAATACAACAAAACTTTGTACAAATTAATAAAATTCAAGCCAGCAAGGCTATCAGCAGAGTGAGCACTCATCATGTAACATAATCAGGAAAATACTTGAATATTGAGGTTGTAGCATAAAATCAACTTCTTACATGCCACTTATAAGGTCTCATAGTTCATCGAAGTGGTATTCATATAATAGCTCGAAAATTTAATTTCAACAGGTGATTTTAGTTATTGAGTGTAATACACGAGTCTCTTGAGTTTGATTTTTGTAAGATATATATAGTTCCCAAGTACGTGATTCTTATATGGGAATTAATCTCACATAAACCACCATAGATGGCCATAAATATAAGAGGTTATTTCTCATTACAAAGAAACCTCACTTTGATTTGTGAGAAACATTAATTTTTGTGAACCTAATTAACTAATTACTTTTGCACATCTCATTCTTGATTTGCAGCTTACAAGTAAATAAGAATAACTTCTTAAAGTCATGCAGTGTTTCATATGGAATTAATTGGCCTCCTCAATGAATGAGGAGTTTCTCCTCAATTGACTATATAGCCAATTTATCGAATTTTATGCTTATGATCAAGACTGTTCATATTATGAAGTACTTTGTAAAGATCATTTTTGCCAAAAAAAAAATCAATAAAATATGAAATCATTTAGTCACCAAACTATAAAGAACCATCTATCTATTTTTTACAATTAATTGATTAAACAAGTTTTAACTATATAAAAATAGAAGATCCATATATAGAGACTTATAAAAGGAACTATTCAGATTATAACATGAAGTTCTATAAATCCTAAACTAAGTAAATTAGGAGAAACTCCTCAATCTTGAGGAGCCAAGCATGACTCTTTTCATATTTGCCACCAATTTTTTATTGTTATTGAATAGCTAGCGACGTGCCCTGAATGCTCCTCTACCCCATATGGCATGCAGTGATATATATTATTTTAACACTTATCTTAATACCCGAAACAACCATCGTCTTGAATTGACCAATGTCTCCATCTTCCCATGTAAATACAAACCCCAGCATCTTGTTTCATGGGGGCCATACTCTGATAGCGAATGAGTGTGTGTTTGTGTGAATCCCGTTATGAAGCTTTCCTTTTCTTGGAAAAGAAAAATATTGGAAAAAGAAATATTAATTTTCAGCATCTTTGTCTTGTCTCCTCTTCTTTTTCCACCACCTTCAAAACTAACCTTCTTCATTAACCCAAATATTTATAAGCTCTTGAGTCCTCCGCTTTAGCATCAAAAACAGCTGGGAGGTGTTTCCTAGGACGGCACAGTTGTAAGAAACTATGGGGAAGAAAGTAATCCAACAAACTACTTCAATGAAAATATCTAAGAAAGATAACAAAGAGTTTAACAGTTTGATAAAACTCCTGAGGCCTAAAGTCTACATCACTGACAACTCTAGCTTCAAGAGGCTCGTACAAGACCTCACCGGCAATGGAGCCTCGAATCCAATTACCACTCCCTCCTCCCTCTCGCACCCCTTGGAAAACTACAGACCGCTGGTCGAGGAGAAGAAGGAAATCCCAGTAGTTGTGGATCTTGAGCCTGAAGGTAGCGTGGATGTGTCTACCGATGCGTCCTTTGATTCTTCGGAACTGTGCAGCCAGGTGTTTATGAATGACCAAGAGTTCAACCAGTTATGTTATCAGATTTATTCGGATGATCATGCTACAACAACTACCAGTAGTTCAGAAGGTTCAGCAGAAGAGCAGTTGTTGGTGGATGATATGTTACCTTTTCAAGATCTTGAGCAATGGCTCGATTTAGACACTGTTTATCATGAGCCTAACCATGATCATTTTTTCAACTATGGTTATGCTCAACTTGATCAACAAGTCAGCATATATGACTACGAGCTCTAAGGAATGCTATGATCGAATTGTTAAATTTCGTTGTACGAGCAACGCTCTTGTAATATTCTTCGTCTTGATGCTTTTTTAAGTAGTTCACATGTTCATAGCAAAAGAAATGTGTTTATTTGATGTGTATTCTTTGTGTAGAGAGCCCATTTCTGCTTTTACACGTTACCGTTTTTAATCTGTTCAATCGTGCTACTCCTCCGTTTTCTCATCCGTGCTTCTCCTTGAGATACGTATGTGTACATTATTAAATGCTTGCTAACATTATCCATTCATCGGGGGCAGTCGTACGTGTCGTAGATTGGTGGATTTTTGTTCTACTTTAAGAATGGTGGATTATTTTTTTTTAAAGACTCTTCTACTAATATTTTGATTCTATTATGTACAGTATGAATGCACTGCACAATCAGCGTCTACTCGTATCACCTAGCTTATTGCTGTTTGAAACTTGAAATCTACTACAGAGAACAGTGCGCAAAATGAGAGTCATAATCAACAATGATTGGCTTTAAGATATTGAGTTATGTCCTCCGTCATTAGTATCGTAACTTTGAGCACATGATCTTATGCATAAAAGAAACGTAACAGTACATAGATTATGTTAGTGTATAAGTGTATATGCTGAAATGTAATAAGAGTTAAGCTTAAATGTTAGCCTTTGGATCACAGTCCAAGTGTGTAGCTAAGATGTAATCTTAGAGCAAGCAAGAGATTAAGACATGTGTCATCACCTCATAGGGTAGATGAATGAAAGGTCAGATTTTAAATGATGTAATGAAAGGAATATTTTTTTCCTAACGTTTTAGTAAGTGCACAGTGTGTGCGTGTGAATAACATCAGAAATCTGCTCATTTGCTTTTTCTTCGAGCTCTTGTATTCTCTCTTCAGATATCCTTTATCTCTCTTGTTCAAGCTCCATTGTTTGTTGATACAGAAAGAACTACATACTAGATAACAGTCTGTATGCTAACAGATTAGGCATAAAAGAAGCGTAACGATACGTAGATTACATATTTGTCCAGCAGTATATGTGAGTCACAACTCACATAGAGAGAAACACAAAAGCAACCTGCAAATGCATCTGGTGGTATTGCTTTATTACATAGTTACTTCATGAGAGGACGCACGACTCCAACTACCAGTGTCTGTTGTGAATGTTATGGTACGTGCGGCCACTACAAGATCAATTGAAATGTAATCTGTGTTTGTTTTGAGTTTTTTTATTTGAATGTATTTGGAGACGCTTGTTTTTCACTTTCAAATTACTAATGAATTTCTTCACCTCTCGCTTGCATTGGCACTTGAGCACCTAAGCGACGATGACTCAAGCCTTTTGATGTTATTATGCGGAAATATTAATAGAGGTCAGATTTTTATACTTTTGACGTTCCATTGGAAAAAGTTCAAACTCTGGTGAAATTAGCTGCATAAGTACTTGATTTGAGATTATTTGGATACCGATGATTAAATTGGAAGTGGCTTTTATGTAGGAGCCATTGACAATCTTATCAGATTAGCAGAGATGAAGATTGCAGAGCTAATATTGCTGAGAAACTAGAGAGAGAAAGAGAGAGAGAGATCGAAGAACAAGAGAGAGAAGGGAAATCTTTCTGTGAACGAACTCAATGTAACAGTACAACAATCTAACACTGCTGTGAAAAGTCCCGGAGCCTTTGGGCGAGCTGTCTGCTGCTTTTATAAAATTAACTTTTCCTTTCATTTTTGGGCAGAGGGTAACGTAGAGTTAGTTACAGTCCGATAATTCTTTTGGAGAGGTTTTCAGGTTATTATATAAGACATATATGATTTATGATCAGTTATGATAAAACCCGAATTATTTATGAACTTTGCATTTCTATTTTCCTGTATTGGTAGAGAAACAAAGCCGTGATTCTCAGCAGCAACGCCTGCTGATGTACATTATACGTTCTATGGCTGACTATTCCCCCCGAAGTCGTCAACATTGTGATCAAATGGGTGTTAATGTGGATTAAAAAAATGGGAAGCGGGCGCTGCTTTCTCCTTCTCCACTTGGTTTTATAAAGCGTTGTAGGGATGTTTGGGACATTCATCGACTTATTTAGCTTTATTTTCAGTAGTAGCAGTCACTGACTAATCCCAAATGACATGGTTTTTACATTCTTCGAAAATGTTCTCTAAAAAGCGCGACTAGACTAGACGGCCACTAATTCTACCTCAAGGCAATGCTACCATGTCGTTAATCAACTGGTTTTTCAAGACGGTAGAGACTTTTCTAAGCATGGTGATAAGTTTGCAAATGAAAAACCAGCTGATTCAAGAATGTTTCGAGTTTGTTCACATCACTAGCCGTATAGTGCAATTAATTGCTAGCACGCACTTGTTTTGGCATGGAGCACAAGCCTTGGACATGCTCATTCTTGTTTTAAGTTTCATGAGTTTTTGCAGTCTTTTCAACAAGCGTTAATGTCTACAAGATTTGAGGCTTTTCAATAACATCCAATTATTTTTGTTCTTATTCAGGTTCAGTACCTCCGTTCACTTTCCCACGATGAGTTTTGCTCTCGCATGGCCCTCATTTATTTGGAACTGCTCTCCTATGCCAAAATGAGCCATCAATAACCAAACAAAAGTCACTAGCTCTCCACCTTTGCTCAGCAGTTGCGCATGGTCATTCGCTCGGCAATGACTTGCAGTATAAGACATAATTTCCACCCACACTTCGCTCATCAGCTCCCATTTCTTGTCCTTCAATTTTCTCAACTCTTTGGCCAGAATACAAGCATCGAACAACACAGATTTGCTTCTATCCCCTTTGACAGCAACAGGCTCAACATCTGTATTTACCTCCAGGAGTTTTTCACAAGCTTCTTTCACTTGTACGGATCCTAGATCCCTTCTGCTGAAGAATTTCTTGGCTTCTGCGCATGTGTCCCGGAATCTTATTTGTCCAATTCCTGTTATAGAAGACATCATAGAAGGCTGCATAACTAAGAGGTACAACATATAATCAGATATGGTCTTACTGTGTTCTTTACTTTTTTTAGTTTCATCACTAACTTCAGGCCCAGCTTCACCTTCAGCTTCACTTTTGTCATCGTTGAAACACAATTCTGTAGCAATGTGCCACAATAAAATGCTCTTGTCATATTCCACATCAACAACGTAAGATAGTAACTTAGTGATCACCTTACTATCCCAATCGCTACCCTCGAGAACCCAATCACCTCTGGCCGCACCTATTTTCCTTGCAGTTTCAGGATCATCAGCGAGCATGGATTTACTTATCAACTGCTCAAAAATAAAAACCCATAACTCTTCAGCGAGTGGCTTTTTGGTCCTATATATCAACTTATCATGAAGATCCTTGAGGCCAAATAAGGTGATGACTTTAATGTAGCCAATGCCAAAGTAGTCATACCATGTCGGGGATATTTTCCGCTTCTCCTTGAGGGAGTAATGTATCAAGTTGAATGTAGAGACAGATTCGTACCACCTCCGAAATAGGATTCTCCTAATCCACTCCAAACATTTTGTTGCTTTTGTTTTAGGAATTTGGCCGCCCTCATTTCTTGTTTTTGCCTTAGGCCACCACCGCGATCTCTTGAAATCGAGATACTTTCCGAAAATAGTTTTAGCTAGACCAGAATTTTGCCAAAACTTATTCAGAGCAGCAATGGTCCAATCTGAGAATGTAAGCATGACAATAGCTATTGAATCCAAGCTTATGGCACCAAACAGCAAGGTATAGGTAATTCTAACATCAAACGAGTGCAAACCCTCTTTCTCTAATCTATAGAAGAAAACAAGGGCTATGACAATCGCACTGAAAGAAACCACCCGGAGAATGTATGCTGGCTTAGTATGCACCACAGCAGCCTTGGTGAAGAGAGCTTCATACATAAAGTTGAGCTCGACTGCAATTAATTTAAATGCTTCTTTCGGTGTTCTTTCAAGGAAGACTGCACGACTCTCCTGGCGTTCATGGAAGCTGAAAATGAGATCCACAATTAGACCCTTGAAGATTTGATAGAAATAATGAGCATGTTTCACCACTGCAATATCACTGTCCAGCTCATCTTTGCCTATCACGTAAGTCACCGTCCTAGATTCCTTGCTGCGTTCTGCTGTGAGTTCTATGTGAGTTGGAAGTTGGGAATCTTTTCTCGAGGAGTACTCTTCCATAAGCTTTGCGTAATTTGGTCCTGGATCAGCTTCTTTTATCATGGCTTCCTTGAAATTATCCAAGCTTGCACTATACAAGGACCGTGTGCGCTCAGCATACTTGATGATTCCAGCAAGAAAAAGGAGGCCGGTTGGGAGCCATAGTTTGTTTTTGGGGAAGGATCGAATGAAGACATACACAGCAGCTGCAACTTGGAATATGAGGCCAAGAAAGTGCCTGAGCCACAGAGTGTTATCTTCAAGCGCAAACGCAGTAATGGTGTCTGGACCGCCAAGGTGCAACAAAAGAAAGGGAGCCCAAAATGCCAGAAGATCACCAGGATAGTCGTCACCTGCATGGTCGCCTTGGCTGTTTGAGATTAATCCAATGGCAAAGTTAGCAGCCCAGTCAGCGAGCAAGTAAGATGACCAAACGATGAACATTATCCCCATGTTTGGCGTCCGCTTTCGCGCGGGTGCAAAAATAATTAAAAGGGTCTGCAATGTGAGGCTTAAGAGGATAAAGCCCCTGAGGTTCCACTTGTCCCATAGCTTCTTGATGCTGTTAGGAATGGGGTTAACCTTACCGGCCATTTGGCTCCCTTTCCCTTTCCCTTTCCTTTTCTTTCAAACCACTGGAGAAAGATCAATTTCATAGTTAGATTCTACAAACCTCTGTTACTAAAACATGATAGACAAAATGTCGGACTCTATACCCCTATTTAGTGCAACGATTTTAACAAAATGTGTAGAGTAATTTTCATTTTTAACTCCAAAGACCTTCAACCTGCGCACCTTTCATGTATTGTCATCGGCTTAAACACTTGGGAAATGATTTCTTCAGCACCCGTGTTTAAAATTGTCGCTTGATTCTCCTTCGCTTTATTCAATTCAAAGGCCAAAAATAAACAAGGATGTGCAGTGTGGGAAAAATGGCGTGTTGAAACCATTTCCTTGAGCACTTATCGGTAGGTGATTAAACGTTCAATTGCGAAAGCACATACATAACAAATATTGTTATCCCTAAGGGGTGATTAGTAAGCAGTTGAATCAAAACTGCAAAACATGCACATATATAACTATTGAGGACCTCTACTCTTCTTTTCTTGATGAAGAAATGACATCTTTGGTATTCTTTCTTGGATCCAAATTTTTCTGTTTTCGAAACTAATCAGTAGGAAGTCATTTGCATTCATTATTTTTAAAGCTATAAATTATTTTCAAATGAATACCAAACAACCTCAAAGTTATTCACTAAACCGGCCTTCTTCTTTTCGTTACATAATATATAGAGGGAAGCGTGGCTTTTCAAAAAAGAAGATTTGATGAAGCAGACAATGAAGAGAAAGCAGGAAATGAAGATGAAAGAAAGAAGGTTAGGGGAAAACCTGATGTGTTTCGAGCTGTGCAGCAGGTTGCCTGAAGCTTAATGAATTTCGCGTCTCAAGTCTGAACCTTGTCAACAGCCATACTGGGAGACTGGGAGTCAAGTCAACTGTAAAGTCTCATAAAGATGGATGGAAACTGAAGAGTGAGGATCCCGAGATCTTTTATAATAATATCCGTTTATTGTATATTGTGAAATTAGTTTTCATTTGTTTATATTCAATTTTAAATAAAAAAATACAATAATTTTTTATCATACGATATACGATAAATAGATATGATTAGAAAATTTTCGGATCCTGACAAAAAGAATCCAACAATTATCTTCACAAAAAGAATCCAACGAGGATCCTAATTCGAAACTGAATTATTAGCTGGGGAAGAAAGAAGCACCCTATAGGCCATAGGGAGCCCTGGGCCCATGCCCATAATCAAATAAAGAAGGACCTTGACTTTGATAAAAAATAAATAAAAAAAGAAGAAGAAAGACTTTGACTAATTATTTTATATTCAGAGCCAAGAAACTAGCTGTTTGCATATGTTCTTTAGTGCCTATGTGTTGTAGAACAGTGGATGTCCACTCAAATAATTAAATAATGGGTAAGTTGCCTTTCTACTGTCTGCCGAAGCTTGTTTCCTATGACTCTTATTTTCTACATAAATACAAACCCCACACAACCCCAAAGTTGAGAGACTCACGGCAGAGATAGGAAGGAAGAGAAACAAAGAAAAGAGATGAAGAAGAGATGAGAGAATATAGAGAGTTATTTTTGTACTCCTATTATTCCAAATTATAATGAAAGCACAATTGCTGCCCCAAGGACGTACTCCAATCACAATGACTGTAGAGGAACCTCGTAAATTTTGTGTCTTGTTTATTTATTCCACTGTGTCTACCGTCGATTTTACAACACATTATCAGCACGAGAAGCTCTCATGTCAGTGGCAAGCTCAACGCCATAAATCAGGTGAAGCACTGTCTACCTCTCACCTCCGTTAGCTAAAATCTCACAGAATAAAAGGTATGTCCATTTTTTAATCTCTCACACCGCGCCAGAAGCGCCCCACCGAATTCTTGTGAGAATTGAAATTTACAACAACTTGTAGTCTTCACGAGATGAGAAAACTCATACCTGACAATTGGTTTCTAGAGATCAAGAAGAATCTCATCAGACTTGGAAACCCAGATTGCATCGTTCTCGATGGATCTCGAGGACTCACGGTAATTCTAGCTTTGAGTTTTACGCTACTTGGCCCAGCGCCCATGGCCGCAGTCTTTTGATGGCATTGCAATCCTCTGAAATAAAATTTGACGTTTCAAACCCTATTACTCTCTCTGTGTTTGAATTAAGCTTGAAATTTTCCAGAGCTCCCTGTTACCTATAAGAAGTTGAGAGATAATTAAGTAGGATGGCTTCTGCTTAGGGCAAAGAAAAGCCAGCAACCATAAACCTCTAAAAGAGCTACTTTGATGTGTTGGAATTGTGCACAAAAAAGAATAAAAAGGGAAATGGGGCCAATGCTTTGGACAGGTGCGTTGCACCATGTGAAAGAAAAAAAAAAGCAAAGGCTTTTTGGAATGGTGTAGCATGTGAATGAATAAGGAATAATAATAATAATAATAATAAAGTAAAGGCTTTTGGATGATGTTGCACTATCTGAAAAGAAAGAAGGAAAAATGATTATTTATGTGAATAGTGTTGGCTTAAAACACTTTCACAAGTTCTATTTACTTTAAAGCAATTTATTTATCATAGACGGTTTTACCGCCTACTGCTTTAAGTTTTGATTTATGTAAATGGTGCTGAATTAAAGTCCTTGTCACAAGCTTTATTTACTTAAATGCAATTTAGTCACTATGGCTGGAATTACTGCCTATTGCTTTAATTTATTTATTGTACTTCTCTTTTGTTACAATGAGTACATATAGGATCCGAAGTTCCTTGATCAGATCAGAACCTGCAGTTTCTTAATCCTCATCATATAAAAATGATTGGACCTGAAGTTCCATCATGCAAAAAGATCGGGCATGAAGTCCTTTGGTCCTCAAGATCGGACATGAAGTTCCTTGATGAGTAGTTAAGTTTGAAGTGTCGCAGTGCCTCAACTTAATTTGTAATAAAAACCATAAGAGTTTTAGTCTACAGACTATTAAATAAGGACCAGAAGTTTCTTATGTCCATACTCAAAATGGTTTAGCAGAAGCCTTTATTAAGCGAATGAAATTGATTACTCGCGTTCAGCTCATGAAAACAAAATTGCCAGTTTTTACATGGGTACATGATATTTTGCATGATGCATTATTAATTCGGTTAAGACATGTTACCAACCATCAATACTTCTCAGTATAACTTGTGTTTGGAAACCAGACAAACATTATACATTTACAAGTTTTTGGTTATGTTACCTATGTGCCTATTGCACTGCCACAATGTACTGAAATGAGGCATCATCGTTGATTGGGCATTGATTTTGAACACCATTTATCATTCAATATTTAGAACTCTTGACTAGGGATATGTTTACCACGTGGTTTGAGGACTGTCATTTTGATAAGACAATTTTCTCATAATTAAGGTAATAAAATATCATTTCAGAAGAATAATGAGAAAAGACCGTTCTAGAAGAACGAAGAGAATTTGTCATTTTGATTCATGAAGCAATCAATATGAAATTGAAGTAAGAATAATTGAATGATGCAACGAAAGTGATAAAATCACATATAATTGATGCAAATATGCCAACAAGAATTGATGTCCCTTTTGGACAAAATAATGAGGCAGCAATAATTTATCTGTTGCATGCCTGAAGCGTGGTAAATAATGTGGCAGTAAATGAGTTATCTATTACATACCTGAAGTGTGGCATACATTCAGACTCAAAATGTTTAGTCATTTGAAAGAAGAAGAATATGGCACTACTATACTATTGCATTCCCAAAGCATAACTGTTGCATGCCAGAAGTATGACAGTCGCCGCATGGATATATGTCCTAGAAAGGACAATCCGCATACATGGGAATGTTGATGTCTCATGCATGAAACATGATAGACGTATAGGTTCCAATGACTCAACTCTCAGAATTAGAGATTAAAACCCAAGCTCTATAACGCTCAAAAAGAGGTTATGATCTGCATTCTCTAAATTATGACTATCCTGTAAGAGATAGTGTAATGCCCTTGAAGAGGCAATGGATATCCAAAAGAAATGAAAAGCTTTTATGCATGCATGCACATGAGAATATGGGATCAAAGATTGATGATAACCAATGGTAATTTTGGTTTTTATAAGTAGCTACTAAATTCATCAATGAGCTGTGTTGATATTGAGTCCCGTTCTTTTCCGTCAACCAAAATTATTGGCCAAAAAATGGAGAAAAGCAATTTCATTACAATTTTGTAAGAACGTGGAAAAATGGACTTATATACTTGAATACAATACAAATAGCCAAAAGATGCTGAACCAATATATGACACAAGGTTGGGCATTTGTAATATAGTGAAATACACTGAAATACACTCACATGACATGACATAAGGTTGTAAACGAGTTCATATGAATGGCGAATTATATACGAAGGGTTTTGAATCGCCCACACTATATCTCCATAAGTAAATCCCTCAAGTATACATAAGAGCAAATTGCTCTGTAGAAAAATGTGTCATGAAGTGTAGAAAATCCATGAAGGATTCAAATTGCTTGAAGTAAGCCTTCGAAGGGTAAAGCATAAATTATGTACTCAATACCAATAGATGATATAAATTGCCATAGTGAGTACTATCATTATGATATTGTTGCAACATACTAAAATCTCTCGCAAGAATTGATGATATTAAATTGGGACTCCTGAAGAGTCAAGAAAAATTATAAAGTGTTGGAATGAATATTGTCTCGAGCTGCAAATCGAACAATATACCAACACGAATCTTATCTATGATGTTTATGATATTAAAGAATCATATGGATTGAAGATTATGAGTTAAATGCTCAAGTGATTAACCAATATTTAGACACTAAGAACAATCATTTATCTTCGTAAGGAAAAACATAAATTGATATTTGGTCCAAAAGTACCACATCTTAGTGAAGTATATTCTTTATTGTATTTAGCACAATACATAGAATGAAAAAAAAATGCTTATCTATTGATATCTCCGAGAAATTACAGATATATGCATACACATGAGTTAAAACAAACAAACAAGATGAAGCCTTTACAAAGGTTGCTCATGTGAAGCCTCAGTACTTGGCAGTACCCCAGAAGGGGGAGGCATTGGAGATTGATCATGTGATGCCCTAGTACTTGGCAAAACACCAGAAGGGGAAGGCATTAGTTGCCTTTGAAATCTAGCCACGAACCTCTGGTGATCACTTTGAATCTGACTTTCGGATTCCAGCAGCTGGTCGAGCTTTTTTTTCATGCTCGTCAAGTAATTATTTGCAAGCACGTGTAACACTCTATTCTCGTGCTTGAGCCTTCTAATATCTTGTTTAAGACTTGCCACCTCAACCATCAATGATTCAACTTGGCGAGTTTGAGCAAGTAGGCGTTGAACCATATTGGATACAGAATCCGCACATTGAACACTGAGAGCCAATGAGTCTTGAACGGCCGACCCATTAGACCGTTTTGAAAGGATTTTGTTATCCTTTGGAGTGAAAAGATTCATATCTACCACTATAGCAGTTATGTTATTCTTCATCACAGAGTTCCCAACCGTAAGAGAACCATTAGAGATAAGAAGGACGGGCGCCATATATTATCCTGACGCATCCTATTTGTATCACTCTTAAGACTCAAATCTAAGCAAATGTTAGATGGGCAAGCCGTTTTCAGAAATTGATGAAAGAAAATGGTTGGATATAGTGAAATCTCATAAATACAACAGAGACAATTTTCACAGGCAGGCAATCTTCAAAGCGTGCATTTTGAACACAATTAATGTCTCTATAAAAGAAGAGGCAACATAACCACTTGTTCAAAAATTGAAGAGACATTGCTCTTCGAATTTCAAAAGCCAGATTTTCCTGAATAAAGTTCGTTAGCATTTTTTAGACGTAATCTCAGCTTTTCGGATATCACGTGCAACTTTGTCAAAGATCTCTGACAAAGTTGAAAACGCGTAAATCTTACTGTTCTAATTACACCACAGTTGTTTACAAGAGTAAAAGTACAGCACCACTACCTACTATTGGGAAATCTTTATATATGTCGACTTCCGTTCTCCATAACAAGGCAGACCTG